AGAATTTACAATTATTAAGATTTATTTAATCAGTTTTCTTCTACGATGGATTTATCTTTAAATGAGACTGAAAAAAATTCCATTGTACGTCTATCTGTGGAAATAAATTTCTGGTTGATTAAAGAAAAACATATTGAGATTATTTTGTGAAATAATTCCCGTAGGTGATTTGTGGGCTACCAGTTTTAAACTAGACTATAGATCAAGTTTCTGTTTCAACTAATTTGATTGAAGTCATGAACTGATCAATGTCAGACTACCATTAGAAACCTGTAAGCACTGTATGGTCGTTTTGTCTCAGTATGAGACTTATCAGAAGTCTGTACCCACGAACTCCACATGCATGAGACGAACCCCTGGATCTTCGGTCTCTTGTGCGAGTGCCTAATCTCTAGGTCAATAAGCCGGCATCCACGGTGTTAATGTCTAGCTCCAGTTCATCCATAATATTGCACGACCTCACCATTGTCTTCAGAGGATAAATGCTTCATACTGGACATGATCGATTAAAGTTAGACACTAACACCTTTAGACGCCGGCTCAGTGGTATAGAGGTTAAGTGTTCGCGCGAGAGACCGAGGATCCTGGGTTCGATTACCGCATGCGGAGTTTGTGGATATGAACTGCTGATGAGTCCCATACTAGGAAGAAACGGCCATCAAGTGCTTATAGATTTCTAATGGTGGTCTAACATTGATTGGTTCAGCACTTCAATGAAACTCAACAAACTCCACATCCCGATAATAAACTTTGTTCATTCTAAATAATTGTTATGCAGTGAATTTTGTTTAACAAATTGCTTGCATGTGATGATAGTCATTTTATTCACGACTGTATATTTAGATACATTAGAGAGTTTCCATGAGGAAAATATGAATTAATCTAATAAATCCATTCTATTTTAAATTTCATTAGAGAAGTTTCAAATACATCGACACATTAAATGATTAACCGTTTTACATTTTTAAACTTCGAATAGATTTAGCCTTCGTAACCTTCTTCATCTAATTACATATGTTGCAGATAAGATAGTGTAAACTCCTCGAATCTTTCTTGATGTGTACAAATCCTAATTATCTCAAGTTTTGATTAGCCAGAGAAAATACAGTAATACCAAAATACTTATCTGGGAATTTAGTATCTCGCATAGAAATGGGGTATTCTATGCGGGCAAGTGAGTTACATGATTCAGTTAACAAATATAAGTATTTAGGCAAAACAAAATGGATTGGTGTAATGCAGATTTTGAATAGGTTGACATAACTTCAGTTTGAATGAACATTTTGTCTTGTACGATTTCATATTATAAGGTACCGAACTTATTAAAACAGCAGTGAAATATGCGGAATGTCTAAAATTAAAAACATAGACAATTAAAGGTGACATATAATTTATGTTATTGGAGAAATTAAGTTTCATCTTGTCCCTCTTCTTTATAACTGGATGGGTGGCTGAACGTAAATATTCCATTTAAACTTGATACATGAAAATGTAAGCCTGTTGAAACATATGCTACCTCATCTGTGTAAGTTCAGAATTCACATGTAATCCAAAGTATAGGTTGTTAATATTTATCGATTTGTCAGAATGTAGATCAAAAGCCGCAGGTAATTCGAGTGTTGCGTCTGACAAAATCATTGGTGAAGGTAGATACACAGTTTCTAGAACAAACCACCTCATTTGTTCCTGACGATTTATTTCATACCGATGAACTTGTTGTTCACGCAGGATTTATTTTGTATCGATCGGATTTCGTATTTGTCAAATTTTTCGCAGCCATCACGTACAGATACCAATATATCCTCTACTGATGAGAAAATACAGAAAGCTCACTACAATGTACACTGTGTAACTGAGATATTGCTCAAGACTTTACAAATATCGAAATGGAAATTTCTAATACAAGCTTATGATTTTATTTCCAACATCATCCAACTGGTCTTGTATTTCAAATTATGAACTGGTCTCAACGCGACCACCATCGCAAATCAGATTCGTCATATTAAGACAGACTCATACTACGACGAATCGGACATCCAGTGCCTTCTGATTTGCAATGGTAGTCTAGAGAAGATCGGCGCATGGTTTGAACTATTTCGATTTCCATGTACTTACTCGTTACATTACATTTCAGTATTTTTCTTCTGCCGTTACAGAATTTACTTTCGAAATTACTAATAAATGTCAAAATTTTTTGACATTCCTACTGAGTTTTTAAGAAATTAACGAATATATTAAAAAGTAATGAGAACTTTTGCTTTGTTGTGATTATACTGGATAAATTAATGTTATTATTATGTTATCAGTTATCATGGTGAATTATTTCTGTCCGAGATTCTACAGCGTTAGCTTTGAGAATGAATCTAATGAAAAGAGAATTTCCAGCTGAATCGTTCTTTTTTGTTTTATATATCAATGAGTGTTTTTAGGTCTATCTTTATCCGACGCCATATACTCTAATTGCTTAGTATTCTTCAGACACTTTGCTTCACTCAACTAGTCCCAAAAATCAGAACACCGAATGGATAGGTATTATGTAATTGTATTCGAAACAAATCAAACTAAATAGGAGTGAGCAAGAAAAAATGTTAGTATATTCATAATTTTACACAAGATCTGAGAGCTTTCTGCAACTATTCACTAGCGACGATTGGCTAAGAATATGCCAACCAACGTTCTACACAGAATGCGCTTTAGTCGAATCGGTCTTGTTGTTTTTAGCCTAATTGAAAGTACAGGTCACCTATATAAGAACTTTATTCTAAATTTGAACGAATAGTCTCACAGGAGTTCGATACCAAATTAGCGTAAGACTATCAAGAGGAAAATTATGTTTCTTAAGTTTCAGCTATTAAACTCTAAGTAAATCCAACCTTCCGCTCGGGCCATTTATTCCAAGCTCTTTCAAGGAAATATAATCGTAATTGTCGGTTGTAAATACAAGGTTCATCGATTATTTACAAGCTAAACAAATCATCTAATGTGAGGGTGAAAGAACACATATTACTGGCAGCGCATTCTCAATCCTCAGAAGACCTGAAAAATCTAGAGAACGAGTCAACAATAGCTTCACACGGAATGGGATCTGGTCATATAATTGATGTTAATGGCATAAAAATCCTTCAGAAAGACTAACACCTGAAGCTCTACACATTTGGGGTAATCCAAACAATATTTGATAGGAGAGACGGAATACAATCAGATGTCTTATGACGACCGATAATCAATAAATAAGCATGAACTCTTTTTTATCTGCAATAATGATTGGGTTCACTTGCTCTGACCATTCGGTTCATCTGAATATATGATGAGCAATCAGTTAAATAAAAAATATCTAATTCTTCTGATATCAGATTCACACTTTTATATATCTGCTATTTTAATACACTTTTCACACCAAATGCATCACACTACAATTAATACCACTGTCTATATGGTTATCATGACTGGATCATATGTTTAGCTTGCAGATAACCGGTGAATCTTTTACTGATAATCGATAATTATGATTATATTTCCTTGAAAAAGCTTGGACTAGATTGCTGAGAGAAAGGTTGGATTTACTTCAAGTCCAGTCGCTGAGAGTTACAAGTATAATTTTCCTGTTTAGTGTCAAAAGGTAACCTAATATCGTAGATCACTTTTAGGACACATCAGTCTAAAGATTATCTCAACATTATCATTGTTTTACTATTTACTCATCAGATATCCAAACTATTTTAGTTTAGACAGAATATTGGACATCACTATAGCCATAAAAAAAATATTTGACAAATGAAAATGTATCTGAACTTCAGAAACCGTATCTATAGCTTATAGTGGGAACGACTTATTGTCAGATACAGTAAATGTGTCGATTGTAGTTGTTCTATCTTACGATACTGATAGGTGAAAACAACTTTTTGTCATTTATAAAAACGTTTAACTACTTCCTATAGGAAGTTGTTTACCTAGGTATCAAGTGACAACAAACCACGAGCTGCTGATTCATAAACAAAATGACTAAACGATAAATTAAGAAAAATGGAATTATTTTGCAATTTGGATTTCGTGGTGCTGAGTTCTTTGAGTCAGATGATTAAGAGAAGTGCTCAGTAGAGATGGGTATGTTTCGGCAACTGGTCCCTTAATTTGTGACCGTCTTTCGTTTTCCAAAGGATTTTTGAGATTAGTCTTAGGTGGGTTTCAAACTCTGTTCCTCTATTTAGTTCAAATAACTCCACGATTTACTCAGATTTGAATTATTAACAAATGTGATGTCCGAAATGAATATGCAGTCCGTATAGTTTTATGCCAAACCCAAAGGGCCTGTGTCCCAAGTATTCAAACAAATCAACTAATCGATTCTACACAAGTTACTATTCGCTCGTTCTTTGACCTTGTCAATTATTCACTTTTATCTTGGTTGTGTCTATTCGAGTGTGTGTGCATACCTTATTTCTTCTGACTATAGATGCTTTGTATCATGGAGTTGGCTCGCTCACCTTCTCCACTTCAGCTCATTCTGATTGCATGCTTCTCATTATCATGTCTGTCTGTACGAACGATTGCCTGAAATAAGCTCATCCAACCGAATCCGTATTCAACTCCTAATTACCACAGTCACACAAAGGAGGTTCGCCAGAGTATGATATACAGAAACTCAAGGGGACATCTATTTCATGGTATACTCGAACGTCATAAATAAAGGAGTCAACTAACGGGCCACTAAAGTAGTGAGCCCTACTTAGAATCTAACGCAGTTCACTAAAATTACTCTACTTTTTCAACCCTTGCAATGATCTGATTAGATAGCCTGAGTACTATGAAGTAATTTTAAGCATACAAGTAAGGACACTGTTAACGAAGTTTATCGGATAGCCCATTACCCAACCTTGAGAAATGGTCACACTGTTATCGAATGCCAACAATTATTAAAATGATCTATCAGTAACCTAATGGTGATTAGAAAAGACTCAAACATAAAGTTTGTGCATTAAGGAATATGAAACTAAGTAATATACTACTAATGCATTGTACTTCTGTATTATTTCATAAACTGTTAGTCTACTGATTAACAGAATAAAGGTTAGAGATCAAATTTACAAGGTTGTAAATCATTGTCAATTGAAGTGGTTAGGAAATGTGGTATGTATGATCAGCCAGCCATAATTTGTGATGGACTGATATTGTTCAAAATACGAAGTAAATAAACAAGAAATTAAATTTCGGTCTGAATAGTATAAAATGAGAAAGTTTACAGAGATGAAAAAATATGAAAATAATAAAGGATATTAGTCGGAAAAAATGATTATTTATATGAGGGAATTGATTATCTAGTGCACCTTGTGTGCGCTATTAGTCATGAGGTTTTTAAAGTCAGACCCCATTAGTCATTCAATAACAACCTCATATAAACAAATTAATATAAACATAAGTTGAATGCAAGTTTCTGAAGTAAATCAGTACCATATTTCCAATAATCCAACAAGATCTTTCTCTCAAGTCAGCAACAACGTAGAACTTGGTACGTACATATATCAGTTCCATTTGCCATACCACATTGACACAGAAATGGGATTGTTAATTCAAATACCATAGTGGTAGAGATAGTGGCAGTATTAGCGGTAATAGGAAAGATTAGGGATCGAAGATATTATTCGAGAAGTATATCCTAGTCAAATAAATCTCTCAAACACAGTGTACAAAACTTGTAGCCAGAAAGGTCATCGTCCAAGACACAGACGCCATCAATTGTGATTCAGTTTGAAAATATGTCTCAACATTGTTTCAAAAAACGCCTATTGAAAGAGTAGTGTTCACAGAGAACGTAAACGATTACACGGCATTAAAAACGATCATTAATGACGGTTGATTTTCGCATTTGTTTAATACGTGCAACAATATCGTTTAGATGATTTACAAATGTGTTTTCATTTCCATCATTTGATACAATATAATCCCAATTAGTAAATTCATCTAATCCACACTCTGACGTAGCATTATCAACTCCATCAACATATGACCAACCACGTTCGATTCTAGTTTCTATCGGTGTGACAATACGTATTAACAAACATTTGGATCTACCGAATGTCTTGATGAAATATTCAACATCATTCATCCTTCTAGCATCTGAGATAATAATAATATCAGGAGGTATACCATTTCGTTCAACACTTTGAAGCAATGATTTCCGAGTGAACGTATAAGGATCTTGTTTGATCTCTTGCTCCATCCAATCAATCATTTGTTTTCGATAGTTTTCTTTATATTCGTTCGAAGATAGTAATTCAGATAAATTTAATCCATAATGCTCGGCAAAATACGATTTAATGGGTTCACTAATTCGTACTATTAAGTAAGAAAGATGACTATATTGAAGTAGATTAGCCAAACGATTAACAGTATAATCTTTGCCTGATTTTCTTTTCCCGCTAAAAACAATACAAACAGATGTTGACTCTTGAATCATCAAATCTGAAATTATGATAAGTACATGGATTAGTTATTTAACAGATAACTAACATATTAGATGAGAAAAGTAAGCACTGTAACCGAACACAAAAGCGGTATAATTTGACACAAATGCACATAGTTCCAAATTATGTTAATTTACCATAAGTGAGAGAGAAATCAACGAGACGGTAATCGCAAGAACGGAAATAGTAGTGGTAAAAACAGCAAATGACACTAAGAAAAAGTAAGGGCAACTAAAGAAATAAGACTTATTCATCTAACACATAAACATCGGTACAATGAGGCACCAAAATATATATGCGCTATACAGTAAATGGGAGGTGATCATAACAATAAGCGGAAAAAATTATTAGTAATAAGAATGTGAGGATGAAATAATAGTAATAATAATAATAATAATAATAATAATAATAATAATAATAATAATAATAATCGAGGAAGCAGTTCAGTTAAGGAAGATACAATCAAAAAGAGTTCTATCAGTTAAGGAAATCCGCCTCACTTGTATGAAGAAATTATAAGGAAATTACAGTCAGTCAGTCAGTCAGATGCAACGTAGAACTTTGTACGTAAGTACATCAGTTCATGTTGCCATACCACATCAGCACAGAGATATAATTGTCAATTCAAATCCAATAGTAGAAGAGGTAGTAAAGGTATTAGCGGTAATCGGAAATTTTAGGGTTAGACTATGTTATTCAAGAAGTAGAATCTAGTGAAATAAACTTAAAAGAGAAGATGATGAGGAATTCAGGTTAGGATTTGAGAGAACACAAAGAATGAATGCACCTGCGCCATTAAAAACGGTTTTGAGCCATGTCATTCAGGGTCTCTAATCATCGATTACTTTCATCTCGTGGGCCCCAACCAAGTAGTCAACACCTACCAACATGACTCAATCCTCTTTGTCAGTGACTTCATAGATTTGTGCCATGTTTTGGTCTGGCTTCCCCTAGCTTTTTCCCAACCTATTCCTACATCACAAAACATAGCTCGTCGAGGCAGTCGATGGTTGGACATTCGTAACACGTCCCAACCACCTCAATTGATGAAGTTTCAACACTTCATCTATTGATCTGCCATCCTTAAATAATACTCGTTTCCTAAGTATAGGATTGCTTACTCGGTTGTCCCAGGATACACGAGCAATGCTTCGGATACACCTATGATCGAAGACAAGCAACCTACGAATATCTTTTACTCAGACTGGCCATGTTTCGCATCCATATAGGAGAACGGAGCGAACTGCTGCACAGCACACTCGTCCTTTGTTTAGGAAACGGATATCTTGCCTGCGCCATAGGTGACGCAGGTTGGCAAAAGCCAATCGAGCCTTCTGTATCCGTGCTGAAATTTCATCAGTCACCAGGCTATCGGCACTGATGAGACTCCCGAAATAAGTGAGGCAGTCTACACGTCCGACTACTTGACTACTTATCACTAGTTCAGGTGCCGACTCAAGCCAATCCTGAAGCAACATTTTGCATTTCGACGGGGAAAACCGCATCCCGAACATGCTTGCATTGTTGCTTAAGGTAGTCAGAAGACTGCATTTTGTCAGCATCTTCACCGAATAGAACTATGTCATCGGCATATTCTAAGTCACTAAGCGAGCCTCCTGGTAGAAGGTCCACTCCTGAAAATTCAGTCGAGGATAATGTTATATCTAGAAGCAGTTCTGTGACAAAATTAAACAAGAACGGATAAAGTGGACATCCCTGACGGACACCACTTTAAGTAAAGAATTCCGATGACAGTTCGCCATTAGCCCTAACTCGACCAGTGGTGTTCGAGTAGAGGGTTTGTATAAGATTATTGTATTTCTCTGGTACACTTTTTAATGGCAGACACTGAGAACCTCACGATCGAGAGTCGAATGATGCGTTAAGGTCCAGAAAGACAAGTATTGTCGGACGCCTAAATGTGTGTCTGTGTTCCAGGACCTGTCGTAGTGGGAATACGTGGTCTATACAACCACGTCCAGGTCGAAAACCAGCCTGGTTTTCTCTAATCCGCTCTTCACGAGTTCTAGTTAGGCGTCTAAGTATTATCGAGGATAATAATTTAGACACTATACTAGTTAAACTGATTCCTCCGTAACTGTCACAAGAGGACTTGTAGATTGGGACAATTAGCGACTGAGACCAGTCATATGGGATTACGTCCAGTTCCCAGATTCTACCTAAGATCTCGGTCATCTAATTGCTAAAATTGGACCACCATCCTTAAAAATATCAGGGTTCAGTCTATCAGGACCGGCTGCTCTACTTCGCTTTAGATTTCCTACAGCTTTCTCAACTGCATTAAGACTAGAACTTATATCGATTCGCCATTCAGGATGACTGGAGATCGTAGGCTACTGAAGTGTGGCTGGGGGCCAGTGAACTGATCCCTGAAGTGTTCTGCCCATAGATCCGATCTCCAGGATTGAGAATGAATGATACGGCCATCCTTTTCTGCGATAGTTTCTCTAACAGATGGATTTCTGATACCGGTTTCCTTGATCAGTCGGAAAGTTGTCTTCTTCTGCCTATTGCCACTGCCTTTTCCATTGCTTTTGCCTTCGCCACTCACCACTTTTCGCGGTCGTTGTATGGGCTTTTTACCAACCCGCGCTTAAGCTGACTTCGCTCTTCATGTTCAGAGCCAGGTGGAATAAGTTTTCGAGCATTCATCAGTTCGGTAGATGCTACTGAGATCCACGGCTTCTTCCTAGTAATATGGTTCACCTTACTAGCAGATATCACTGCTGTTTCCACAGCTTTTTTGATATCATTCCAAGCTGTTTCCGGATGGAGATCACTTATATGGTCGCCTCACTGTTTTTCTAGTTGTTCCAGAAATATATTCATAGCTCTGCTGTCATTAGGTAGAACCATAAGAGGCTTTCTCGCGGTGTTTTTCCTACGTCCAGTAAGACGCAAACAAATATGCACTCGCACTAGAGCATGATCTGAACCTAAACATGTGCTTCAGAACGAGCAACAGTCCTCTATCGAACCCTTCAATCGGTGGCTCATGGCGATGTGATCCAGTTGGGTCCAGCGTTGTGACGACTTTGGGGGTCGCCAAGTCAAAAGATGCTTTTCTTCATGCTTTAAGTTAGTGTTTGCTAGAAATAGGCAGTTATCTGAGCTTAGATGCAACAGATGGTCGCCATTATTTGTTCGATTAGCTGTGACACCATAAGATCCACCCAGGTGTCTTTCCTTTTCACTTAGTCGACCTATTTCGACTGTGAAATCTTCAATTCACATAAATTATCCCCAATCTTGATGCTACCTAACTTGGGAAAAAGACGATTAAGATGAAGTTTGCCAAAATCTTTTCTAAAGTTACTAAAGACTACATCTATTGGTAGCTTTTGATCTTTATGAGCGCACCAACTTTCACGGGATACTGATCGGTTTGAGGCATAATTAGATTGCTCTAAATCTATGATGCTTCTCAGAAAAAAATTGGTTTTCGCCAAGGAACTTAAACAGCTCTTTAAGAACAATCGTTTCTGAGATTTCAATAACTACGCTAGTTAGGCTTATGGGTCGATAGATCTCAATTTTGTCTAGTACCTGTTTTGAAGATAGGACTTACTAAGGCGTTCTTTTGATTCGGTAATTTCTTTGTTTACAAATGGATCAAAACACACTGGTGGGATTTTGGATGAAATTTGCTGGTTCCTTGAGTAATCTAGGATGCATTTCACCGGAACTTATATATTTACCTACACCAAGCTTATTCAACAGATCAAGTTCCTTAATGATCTAAAGGAAAGGGATCTGAATGTCCATATTGATAAGTACAACCAATTATTGTAAGCAGATTTAAGGATGAATTTCAAAAATTACACAAGATCCTGACTAGTGAGAAACATTGAGTTGTAAGAAAAAACAATCAAACCATTAGCCATAATAATTTAGGCTGAAGTAGACCAAGAATGACTTTGATGTAATAAATGCACAAAAGCAAAGTTAATTCACAGCGCGTAAGTAAGCAGAACTTTTCAATCTGACATTTACCAGAATAAAAAGATTGTCGTATCAGTCTCATAGATCAATGTGCGAAAACCAATTTTAAATTACCTGGGGGGCAAAATAACTGTGGTTAGTGTACAAGAGGTCGTGGATAATGTCCATCTGTAATAAGTTACAAGTAACGTACACTTTGAAACGTACAGGCAATCCAGCGTTCAATCTCCCAGAGTTTAGACACCAGTGTTAATGACGTTATGTCTGTTGGCCTTGTTAGTCCTTCAGTAATTTTCTATTACAGTATTCTGTCTTCCCTTTTGAAGTTTGAATCGATGGACTGATAACACTTATCAGGGTAGGGCTTTCCATTCTTGGGTCAGCTGATTAGGTAAATGGAATCTTCTTCTGAGAATATATTTGGTCCCTGTCTTTCGATTTTGTCATAGTGACCTGGAAGTTGATCTTTTAACAAGTCTGACAGAATTGGAATTAAGATCCGTCCGAAGATTAGTCTCGCTGGCCTAAATAATCAATTCTTTGGAAATGAAACGGATGAGCATTACCCCTAAAGCTTTTTGTAATCCTAAAGCTGAGAGCCGAATGATCCTGAAACAATTATATGTGGAGTAACAAAGCATCCAAAAGAACTAACTGTTTTTTACACGGATGTTCTTAACCTACTGAACTGATTTGCAGATTCTAGTTTTACGGTTGATAATGAAAACATCGATACTGTCATTTTAGTTGAGATATGGGCGAATAGTTCTCACTTGACCCCACTGAAATTTCTCCGGCCCTTCGGCTCTGATTCTGTGGTCATTATTTGGCGCTGTTGAGTTACAAGGTGTAGAGTAATAAGCTTGGAAGTAAACACATGATTCGTGAGAATAAAAGAACCTTTATTGCTTGATTAGTAATTGGAGATTTTCGTTATCGAGTGATTATGTGCTTCAATGCTTTACTTACTGATGTCAATGAATTTCAGAGAATACGATAATAGATTTTTTTGGTAGGCCTGTCCTCGACCGCGTACGGTTTCGAGATGACAGGATACCTCTAGTATCTATGATACAGTACTCAATGTCCAATCTCAGCATTCAATTTTTCCGATAACCTGATAGACATCATCACAACCTCGGAAATATGGTTGTAAATAGTGAGGGCCAACTAATGAGGTTTCCGTTCTGTAGGGGAGATTGATTAGGCATTAAGGGCAGCCAGGTCGTTAAATATAACCATCGCTCAGAAACTTCTGAACCAGCAGTACGTTGGTTGGAATGTTCAAGGATCTATACAACACCATAACTCCTAATTCAAAGTGGACTATTTTTCCCTAGAAAATCATGATCAGACATATAAATGCAAAAGACCTATACTGGTTGAGTGTGTATTGGAACGCTTCTATGAAGAAAATACGATTTATGAAAAATAAACATTATTCTACTCGTGTTTTTCAACTGTGTAAATGCGAATACTGCCTCCTTTGTGAACTCCAATATAACATCGACAGGTTATTTATTTATTTATCTGTCCACAAGTTTGCTTGCGAGTAGATTCGGTACTCAACAACCTTACGAAGGATCTTTTCACGTGATCTCTCGTCACGAAAAGACCTTCAAGGTTGATGGACTTAGTCAGAATTGATCGTCTCATACCAGCACACGTCAATGACAGTGTCCTCTCTGGTAAATCCAGATTTAATGCTGGACTTGTCCAACTCACCAGCGGGATCTTTATTTTTCCTTCCTTTCTGATTCCTTGGCTAGATGCATCAGAGACCTCCTTCTCACGTCCCAGTTAACAGCACGCGTCATCTACACTATCTACGGATGAGACTCCGGTCTCAAGTCCAGATCAGCAGACCACACCGCCCTTGGCTTCGGATGAGATTACAGGCTCACGAGGTCTGCACGAGACTACCATCTCGCGTTCCAATCGCCGCGTACGCCTACCTATACGCTTTCGCGACCAATATCCCAATCAACAACGAATACGCGATAGGACACTATCCTCATACTACATGTATGCTAAACCTTTCCCTTTTTCCGTTATTTTTTTTATCCTGAGCCCATGTCTCCGACCATTGCCCTGTTGGTACCGTCGACTTCAGTCAACCTTGGCGAAAGCTGGCCTGATCATCCACGCTCTTGTCAAAGTACCCAGTCAATGTTCTGGTCACGAATATATCTGGTTTCGTTATCATCGTTTCTGGCAATATGAACCTACAGCGTTCGGGTTAAAAGTGAACTGCAAGAGTAAATTATAATTTAACAGTTCAAAACAATATTTGGAGAAGGATCCTTTGGATTTTTTGTCGTTTACTATTTCAAAACAATACTTGGAGGAGCATCCTTTGGATTTCTTATCGTTTACTATTTCTAAACAATATTTGGAAGAGGATCTTTTGGATATTTTACTGTCAATTGGTCCTTAACGATATTTGAAGAAAAGTCTTTTGGATATCTCATTGTCGACAATAATAAGAGCTGAACCGATGAAATTGAATATTTGGTCTTTGTTGTTTCCTTTCCCTTGAATTTCAAATGCTATAATGAGTTCTCGTAAGAAGCCAAACGCGAAATGGGATGAAGCCTATGGAGAATCGCGGAATGCAAGGCAAGTACCGTACGATTCTTCATGTTTAAAGGGTTCACTCTCTAATAAGAATGATATTATGCTTAGTACTTATTGTCGTGAGCCATCATCAGAGGGTACTGAAGGACGAAGTTTGGAACTTAAGAGAGTTGTTAATTGTATTAGCAAGGTATATCCTCCTGAAGACCGAGCATGTAAGCTTTATGATTTAAAATCCCTTGATGTGTATCCTAGTGAGAAGTCGGTATCTGTAGCAGATAAGGTGGCTTTTTTGAGGATGGCAAAGAAGGAAAAAGGCAGAAAGGTTAGGCATCAAGACGGATCCGAGGTATGTGATGGTAGAAGTTTCCTAACTGCTCGAAATGCAAGGAATGGTAATTTGGATTCGAGCAAACAGAGGTTATTGGGTGCAGTGAATATGAACAAGGACGAAACAGGTTCAACTGTACGGAATGAAGCTTATGTTCGGAACCCTTCGCGTAGTGTAAATTATCTGACACGACCTAGAGCTGATCCTAGGATAGCAAGCGTAAACAGTGACACAGCACTTCATGTTGCTGCGCGATCAGGATGTCTGCCGGCTACTGTATCTAGTTCTACGGAGTATCATAATAGTGAAGCGAAAGATAATAGCAGCTTAGCGCGTCCTGCTGATGTTTGTTTGCAGTCAACTGATGGACGGTCGCATATCAGTCCAAGGAGTCATAGCAACATTGATAGTGTTAGTGTAGGTGGCAGCAGTGGTAGCTTAGCTTTAAAGCCTGCTTGCCAACTATCCCGCAACTCGTCACTAACTGTGAAGAGTCGGTACATCAATGTGGACAACAACAACAACAAGGTTGAGGTGAAACCTCATGTGTCTATTAATAGTGTGGTAGATGTGAATAATAAACGTGATGGTAACGTGAGTGGAATCACTATAGGTAGTGCAGTTTCTTCGGTTGATGTTACTAATGTAGCTTCTTTGAGTACTTCAGTTCAAGACGAAATTGGATGTTTGAGCGTGGAGAATGTAGGCGATGGTGGAAATAGCGTCAGCCACGGTGATGGCACTACTGAGAGGGCTAACATTCAGTGTCCTGGGTGTAATGAGGAGTCACCTAGCTTTCACGGACATGCTGCTGTGTTGAATATACAGCATGAGGAACCGAGCATGGAACTGTCCACCTCATTGACTCCACCATCATTGACTTGCACTACAAGCTTCGGGATGAGCACTACCAACAGTGATAAGACAGAAGAGGTTAAGAGCATTCCTAATGAGGATAATAATGTTGATTTAGTAAAGTTGGACACTGTGTATGAGTCGACTGGATGTCATGGGAAGATTACTACTACTTCTACAACTGCGGCAACTAACGATATTAGTGTTGATAATACTCCTGCGGGTAATAGTGATCGAAGGACATCGAAAGACACTCATCGACATCGAAATGGTCGTATATTGCGCTCACATACTGCTAACAAGGTGAGAACCATAAGAAACGACATGATGCTACTATTATTAAGAAGCGTAAACTTCGTTCTCTGTGACTAGCAATCGGGGTAGTAGTCATCAGAATCGTAGTAATGGCAGCGATAGTAAAGAGACAGAAAGTGTGAGCAGTCCACCTATAGTGACTAGTGACTTCATCGAATGAACCTTATAGTGTTTTGACGTCATCGAGCCCTGTCGCAAATGTAAAATTGATTGAAGATGCACTACGCTGTGCAACTGTAACTGTTTCTACTCCGGTTGACTGTCAGTCGAGTGATGATGAGAAAGAAGCGTCTGATGGTAACAGCCAGTCTACAGTGTTGCATGATAATGATGCTATTATTGTGCACATGTCTTGTGTCTCTGAAACGGAACATGAAGAACAACAAGTGAGTTTATCGGTTTCGAATTGCGACACTAATGATGTTTTTTCATGTAGCGAGGGGAGTTGTACAACAATGGAAGAGTTTCACTCTACGGATGCTAGTGTAGCCAGAAACAACGTGACTTGTCTGACAGAACGAAATCATGATGACGATGATAGTAATCTGGATGTCACTGATGTGACAAATGAGTTGTCGACGATGACGAATGCTGATCAATCCTCCTCTGTACCAGGAGATGGAGAGTTAAATATTGTTCATATGTTATGCCACTTAGAGTCTTCAAGAGACGAGGAAATGTCAAAATTGGAGATCCCACCCTTGCATATTATCTATGGGTCAAGAACTTCTGTTGATAAGTCAGCATCACTGACTTCATCGTATCTGCCGTTCGGAGCAAGTGGTGGTGGATTGACGACTCATCCCCATGATGTGGAAGGTAAATCCCGAATAGGATATGACTAGCCCTACTGCGTGTTATACATATTCATGTGGATTAATTGGATGAAGTTTGTACTACCGTTAGGTCATTCTACGATAGATAGAGTAATCAAGGACCTGATGGGAAGGTACAGGTACGTAGTTAGCTTGATAGGTCATATCCATGTTGGAGGGCGGGTTGGCGTACTTCTGTAAGTCCTACTCGTTTTCCTGGTGTGGATTGGGGGATGAGAGTGAACCCTAAGTTGAAGTGTCAGAAGGGCTTGTTTTGCATGGAGGGATTTTGCGGGCCCGTGTAGAATCTATTTT